TAAATTAAAATTAAAAGAAAGCTAGTATCACTATGCAAATTGCAAACAAAATAGACTTTAAGGCAAAAGATCATTTTGATTTAGAAAAGGTTCAACTCACCAAGAAGATGGAACAGTTCTAGACTTCTGAGCCTGATAAAAAGGACCCAGATAATATTAAGGAAAAATAGAATTGTACAGCAAATGTAATAACTCCTCTATGATAATAGAGAATTTAATACAATTCTCTTTTTATTGTTAGCATATCAAATGGATAAAAACTTAGTAAAGATTTGGAATATTTGAACAACGTAATTAGCCAGCTTGATTTAATAGCCAAATCAGTACACTCAAAAATTTAGAGGCTTTTATCTTTTCAAGTGCAGGTGGAATCTTTATAAAAATTGACCACTTGGGGCACCTGGGTGGCTCAGTTGGTTAAGCGTCCAACTCCTGGTTTTCGGCTCAGGTCATAATCCCATGGGTTATGAGATCAAGGCGTTAACCTCCGCACTCAGCGGAGAGTCTGCTGGAGACTCTCTCCCTCTGCCCCTCCCCCCACTTGCACAGCACACGCTCTCTCTCAAATAAATAAATCTTAAAAAAATAAAAACTGACCACTTATTAGAGGCCATAAAGCAAAACTCCAAGTTCAAAGATAGGTAATGTACAAACCGTGAACTCTGATTATGCTTGATTTACAAAAGGGATGGGCATTTTGGCTGTGACGGCCCATGGGGAGGCTGGCAAATCCTCTCCCCCAGTAAATATAAACTGACAAAGTTGTCAAAAACGATCATTTTAGGGTCCTGGGAATCAGCCAAAGTACACAACAAATTGAGGAATATTTATCATAAACAGCTAGAAATTTGGGTAAAATGAGGAATCTGCAGCTTCCTTGGTTGTAGGGGCTCCCAACTCCTCTCTCAGATCAGTCAGTACAGTACTTTTAGCAAGGCCGTGAAGAACAGAACCTTGTTGCCAGAGGAGGTGAACTCTATTTGGAAAAGCAGCTGAAAATCCAGGCTAGCAGTTGTCAATAAAAGTATTGGACTCAGCAGCAAGAGACAAATGGGGAAAATCCACAGCTCTACTGGCCTGGGATTATAGTCCTAGATAAGACAGTCAGAAACTTGACAGAAAAATCCCCAAAATGAGAGAGCTACAGAACGGCTCAATACGCTCTCCAAACATTCTTGGCACTAAATTCTAGTGCAGTAACACTAGAAAAAGATGCAAAAACACATATGACTTAGGTAATAACAAAACACTCATTATTCACAGGTGATGTGACTATTTACAATAAAGAATCTATAATACATTGGAATTAAGAGAGTCTAGTAAAATGTCCAGATATAAAACCAAAATACCAAAATCTATTTCATTTTTATACACTATCAATGGTTAGGAAATGTAACTTTCCAAGTTAACATGTCACACCCACAAGGATGTCTATAATCAAAAGTTAGGAACAAGTGTTGACAAGGATGTGGAGAAACTGGAACCCTTATGCATTGCTGGTGGGAATATAAAATGGCATGGGTGTTTTGGAATACAGTTTGTTAGTTCCTCAAATATTAAATCTATAGTTACCATATGACTCAGAAATTCCACTCCTAGGTATATACCCAAGAGAAATGAAAACACACGTCCACACAAAAACCTGTACTCAAATGCTCATAGCAGTGTTATTCAAAATAGCAAAAACAAAAAACTAAAGATCCATCAACTGATAAATGGATAAACAAAACATGGTATATTCATACAATGGAATTTTATCTAGCCATTAAAAGGAATGAAGCACTAATACATGCTACAACATTATGCTAAGGGAAATAAGCTCTACCTAACAGCCCACATTATTGCATGATCCCATTTATATGATGAAATGTCCAGAATGGGCAAATCATAGAGACAGAAAGTAATTTAAAGGACGTAAACTATAAACAATGAAATTAAACTATAAGCCAATAACAGAAACCAATAAACTATAAACTAATAACCAATAACTGGAAAATCCAATAATACTTGGAGATTAAACATGAATTGGTTAATAGTATTGTACCAGTGTTAAATTTTCTGATCTTGATAAATGTACTGTGGTTATGTAAGAAAATGTCCCTGTTCTTAAGAAATGTACACTATGGGGTGCCTGGATGGCTCAGTCGTTAAGTGTCTGCCTTCAGCTCAGGTCGTGGTCCCGGAGTCCTGGGATGGAGCCCCGCATCGGGCTCCCTGCTCCGCGGGAAGGCTGCTTCTCCCTCTCCCACCCCCCCTGCTTGTGTTCCCTCTCTCGCTGTGTCTCTCTCTGTCAATATATAAATAAAATCTTAAAAAAAAAAAAGAAATATACACTAAAGTATTTAAGGATATAGGAATACAGTGTCTGCCATTCACTCTCAAATGATTCAGAAAAATTTATATACACACACACAGAGTACAAATGATAATGCAAGTGTGACAAAAAGTCAACAACTGTTGAATTTGAGTAAGAGGTATATTACAGTTCCTTGTACTATTCCTGCTACTTCTCTATAATTTTGAAATTTTATCTAAATAAAAAGTTGCCAAAATAATTACAAAATTAAAAAAAAAAAGTTAACAGGGGCACCTGGATGGCTCATTCAGTTAAGCGTCCGACTCTTGATTTTGGCTCAGGTTATGATCTCACAGTCATGAGACTGAGCCCCAGATCAGGCTCCATGTTCAGCAGGGAGTCTGCTTGAGGTTCTCTCTCTCCCTCTCCCTCTGTCTCTCCCCCTGCCCCCTCTAAAATGAATGAATGAATGAATAAATAAATCTTTTTAAAAAACAGTAAACAGATGAAACAAAAATACTAAAGAATCTATAGGAGGTGGGCACATGGTTGTTTACTGAGAAATTCTTTCATCTTTGCCTTATGTTTGAAATTTTTCATAACAAAATGCTGGAGAAGAAAGTTAACAGAAGTTAACATTTACAATAATACCAAACTGATTAGGTAGCAAAAAACACATCTAACAGGGGCACCTGGGTGGCTCAGTCGGTTAAGCATCTGCCTTCAGCTCAGGTCATGATCCCAGGATCCTGGGATCGAGCCCCACATCAGGCTCCTTGCTCAGCGGGGAGCCTGCTTCTCCCTCTCTCTCTGCCTGCTGCTCCCCCTGCTTGTGCTGTCAACTGAATAAATAAAATATTTAAAAAAAAAACACACATCTAACAAAAGATTGCAGGGCTTTTATGGAAGAGATCCTAAAACATTTTTAAGACATTAAAGAATACCTAAGTAAATGGAATGGTATACTTTATGCTTGAATAGGACAACTCAGTGTCATAAAGATGTCAATTCTATCTGAAAAAACTGAAAACAAAACAGAACAAAAACAAAAATAGGGAATGCTAAGCCCTAACATGAGTTTTGAGATAGTTAAAAAGCTCATTCTAAAAGACCCAAGAATAGCCAAGACTCCTCCAAAAGAAAAATGTTAGAGGAGTTGCCATCCAGAAATCATTATTTTAAAGCTATAGTAATTAGTCTGTTATATTTGTGCAAGGATATTCTAAGTGACCAGGCGAACAGAATAGAAAACCAGACATCTATTTCTCAGCTCTCTGTCTTACTCACTTTGAAAATCTCTAGTTATTTTTAATAGTCTTGCACCAATACCATACTGGTATTACTATTGTTTAGACTCATAAATTGGGTGGTAGGTTCACAGGTGTTCATTTCATTATTATATTCTATAACTTATATGTTACAAATATTCTTTTATATGCTGCCAGTATTACTTTAATTATTTTTAAATAAAGCGCAGAAATGTGGCTGGCCTCTAAGAAGCCTCTATCTAGGAATCTGAACGTCATTAGGACATACTTCATTTCTATTTCCTGTGCCTATTCTTTCTGCATTTGGACTATTTTCTCAGGCTGCCTGTCGTCATAAAGTTCAAATTTGGCTGCAGCTGCTTTGAACTTACAACTAAGCAGTCATGTGACTACAGTGAACAAGGTTTTCCTCTGGCAGTTCCAGTTAAAATGGTGCTACAGAAGTATTCCAATTGGCTAGACTTACACTTCATACAATACAATACAATACATACTCCCAGACCAGTGTTCTAGGAGAATGGAATTCTAGGAACAGAACAGTTAGGTCATCCGCCCACCTACAGCCAAGGGGACAATGGGGAAGGATGCAGGGCACACAAAATTCTCAGCTACCACATGTGGCGACTGCAACTCTGAGGCTGGTAAGATCAGATGCTGCTGTTACAGAAGCTTTTCTATGGATAAATCTTACAATAATTTGTCCAATAGTTCCTGAAGTGTTGCCCTGTATTTTCCTCTCTCTTCAGTAGCAAAGAACCACTTATGTTCAGGAATTAGCAGAGAAGTGAAGGGAGTATATGAATTAAAAATCTGTTTTATTTTCATGTAGACCATCCTTCAAAACTTAGCGTTCTTAGAAAATTTAATAAAAAATTATTCACAACTTAGAACCTAAGATTGATCTCAGCATTTACCTCCTTGGCCCTTGACAATTTTTATATAGCTTTATTTTGTAAAAAGTGTAGATGCTTGGGGCGCCTGGGTGGTACAGTTGGTTGGGCGTCCTACTCTTGGTTTCCACTGGGGTTGTGATCACAGGGCTGTGAGAATGAGCCCCACAGGGGCTCTGCACTCAGCAGAGCGTGTGCTTGAGACTCTCTCTCCCTCTCCCTCTACCCCTCCCCTCCTCCAAGTAAATAAATAAACCTTAAAAAAAAAAGTATAGATCCTTTTGAGAACTTCAAGAAACAGAGGAAAGAAAGATAACAAAAATAACCTGAAATTCCAACTACCTAGAGATAGTGGTCATTAACATTTGGCGACCATTCTTCCACAGTCTTCCTAGGCATATACATGTGTATATGGATACAGTTTTACGTAACTGTTGAGCCACTTGGGAAAGAAAACCTATTCAACACGAACATTTTATATTACTGTCAAAATGCCTGCTCTTCGAAATCATTTACTGGTATTTTTGTTGTTGTTGTTGTTAACAGGTAATGTTACAGATGTGTTACAGGAAGCAGAAGTGCATTATATCTCTCGAAAGATTTGCGATTCTGAGCAGAGTTATGGGAAAATTATTCCTAACACTTCATTTTGTGCAGGTGATGAAGATGGGATTTTTGATACTTGCAGGGTAAGACCAAATAATTTTCCTTTGAAATATTTTCTAAAGCTAGAAGGAAACTTCAACAAGGTCTTTGATCACTTTCTGGTGAAGTCTTAATTATTAAGTTTATAAGTATTGCACTCTTTTTTCTCCTTTTTAACTACAGTCCGACAATCCAAATCCTCTTGCTTTCCTGGTCAAATTTAGACAAAATTTGCCTTGGATTTTTCTTTTTTTATTACTACCTCTATTGAGGTATAATTTACATATAAGCAATTCACCTTATTTAGGGTGTACAACTCAATGGGTTTTTAGTATATTTACAGAGCAGTGCAACCATTATCGTAATCTAATTTTGGAATACTTTTGTCAACCCAAAAAGAAGCCTCGACCCATTACAAATCACTCCTCATTCTCCTCCCACCTGCCCCTAGACCTAAGCAAACACTAAACCCTATATATTTGACTATTCTGGAAATTTCATATGAATAGAATCATTCAATATGTAATCTTTTGTGACTGGCTCTTTTCACTTAATATAATGTTTCCAAGGTTCATCCATATTGTAGCATGTATTAATACTTTATTCATTTTATCGCGGAATAATATTCCATTGTATGGATGTGCCTCATTTTATCCATTCATTAGTTGATGGATATTTGAGCTATTTCCACTTTTTGACTATTATGAATAATGTTGCTATACACATTTGAGTATACATTTTTTATGTGTAGGTAGGTTTTTCTTTCTCTTAGAAATTCCACCTAGGACTGGAATTGCTAGGTCAATGTTTAACATTTTGAAGAACTGTCAAACTCTATTCCAGAGTGGCTGCACTATTTTACATTCCCACCAGCAATATGAAGGCTCCAATTTCTCCACATCCTTGCCTGCACTTGTTGTCTTTTTGATCACAGCCATCCTTGTGTGTATGAAGTGGTATTTCATTGTGGTTTTAATTTGTGTTTCCCTGGTGACTAATGATGTGGAGCATTTTTTCATGTAATCATTGGCCAGCCATTTGTAGATCTTCTTTGGATAAATGTCTATTCAGATCCTTTGCCCATTTTTAAACTGAGTTATTTATCTTTTTATTATTGAGTCATAAGCCTTTTTTATATATTCTAGATACCAGTCCCTTACCAGATATATGGTTAGCAAATATTCTCTCCCATTCTGTGGTCTCTCTTTTCATTTCCCTAATGTTACCATTTGTAGCATAGAAGTTTGTTTTTTCTTAATTTTTATGAAGTCAATTTATCTATTTTTTTTTTTTGGTTTCGTCTCTTGTGCTGTTTGAATCTTTTTTCTCTTTTCTTCACTACTTCTAAATATATCAGCACTTCAACTCCCGAGCAGTACCCCATACTCTAACGTTGTTCAACTCATTCCGGTTTCTGTAATCCAGGGTTTATCTTTCCAGTGTCCTTTTCCTTAAAAATTTTGCTGAGTAAAACAGTAGAGAATCTAATCTAATTGAATTGCATTCATAAGCAAAATATCCTCATTATCAAAAAATAACTATTCAGTGCCAACCTTACATAGAGAAACTGAAAACACCTTGGAAATACAGTCCTTAGTCTTTAGGTTCTGAAAGCATTATCTCAATGTCCTTGTTGTTTTCAGTGATTTCTTTAGTAATAGTGCTTTGGTGCACTGACAGTCTTGCAGAAACCAGGACAGACATCTGTGATTTGTAATAGAACTGAGAGCCTTAGCTATTTATTCCTGTTACCCTGCACCAGCCAACATTAACACTTTGATGCCACCTCTTTCAAGATGCCAGTTTACTCCTCTCCTCTAGTTAGCAAACCACGCACACACACCTTAAAGAATCCTTTATCCATCTTAAAGTTACACTTTTCACATACAGCATTAAGCGATAGAAGTATTCTATTGGTATTTACAGTATTTTGCACACTATTTCCTAAATTACATGTCTCCTGAATAATTGTACTAAAAAATCCAAACAATGTGATTTATACAATTCTGGTTCAAAACAATGCAGATAGGAAGTTTATTCACCAGCTTTATGGCTTCCTCTAAATATCGGGCCAGATGGAATGCCTTCTGTCTGAGTTGGAATATAAAAATGAAAATCTATGGATCTTTAGAACTTGAAGGTATAGTAAAAATGTGTATTTATATAAATGTATGATTAATGTGATTAATTTATTCCAGCTTTACTGTTGTTTAAAGACTACTAGAAGCAACTAACAGTATTTTGGGACTTTTTTAATAGGGTGATAGTGGTGGACCATTAATGTGCTACTTACCAGAACATAAACGATTTTTTGTAATGGGAATTACCAGTTACGGATATGGCTGTGGTCGAAAAAATTTTCCTGGTGTCTATTGTGGGCCATCCTTCTACCAAAAGTGGCTGACAGATCACCTCTACCAGGCAAGCAATAAAGGCATATTTAACATAAATATTCTACTTGGACAGGTCCTTGTAGCCTCAGGTTCTGTTGTCTTACTAGCAATTCCACAATGAAATTCTGAAGAATCTTTATTTTGTGTTGTGTCCCTCTCCATGTTCTACATAATGAGTATCATTTATTCTTTTGGTAAATAATTGCCCACTTTACAGTTCTCATGTGAATATTTTTTGGAACAAAAGGATTGTGACATATTAAATACGTGATTATAAATTTGGCACTGAATCACATGCTTCTTTAATGTATTTTGATTATTTTTTATGTTATAATCATAATTTCACCTTTGGAATACTTTCCTAGAGTTTGTATAGAATTTTTAGTTATTAAATATATACCTTATGTATATAAATGCCAAATAATAAAGAGTTTATAATTAAAATGAAAGCGGTTCTTTTGTTAAATTAATCAAAACAATTTCCTTTTAATTTAGATTTTATTTAAAGCCATTTACTTGATTTATATTTTTTAATTATCATCTTGTTTCTGGTTCCAAAGTATACTCGGATAAAGAGTATGTGCCTCTTTTTAAAATTCTAATTGAAATAATTTTTAAAACATTAATACTTCCTTCCTTAGGCCAAAAAAGAATGATGGTTCAGACACCACCAAATAATTGACTTCTTAAAAATTTATAATATGGGGCGCCTGGGTGGCTCAGTTGGTTAAGCGACTGCCTTCGGCTCAGGTCATGATCCTGGAGTCCCAGGATCGAGTCCCGCATCGGGCTCC